AGGGTTTTTTTTTTTTTTTTTTTTTTTCCCCAGACAGGGTTTTTTTTGGGGTTTGGGGGGCTTTCTGGGAATTCTTTTTTTTAGACCAGGCTGGTCTCAAACTTGAACTCATAGATATCCACCTGCATCTGCCTCCCATGATTAAAGGTGAGTGCTACCACGCCTGGCTCATGTTTCTTTCTTCTTCCTCTTTTTTTTGTGTGTAATTTCACACTATCTTTCCATTTTGTAAAAAAATAATTTTTTTTTTACAAAAAATTTGCTTTTTTTTTTTAATAGACAAAGAATAGCCCAGGTTGGGCTGGAACTCACAGTTGCAACATGCTTTTTCTATGGTAAATATAAAAAAAAGGCTATTACAGTTTTTATATGTAAATTTGTTAGTCCCTCCTTTAGAAGTATATGGAATTTAATATTGACTGTCTTGGGGAAAGTTCATGTTTCCTTTTTCTCTTCTTTCTTTCTTTTTCTTTTCTTTCTTTTCTTTTTCTTTTTTTTTCTTTCTTTCTTTTTTTTTTTTAGACAGTGTTTCTCTGTGTACTGGCTATCCTTGAACTCCCTTTTTTAGACCAGGCTGGTCTCAAACTTGAACTCATAGATATCCACCTGCATCTGCCTCCCATGATTAAAGGTGAGTGCTACCACGCCTGGCTCATGTTTCTTTCTTCTTCCTCTTTTTTTTGTGTGTAATTTCACACTATCTTTTCATTTTGTAAAAAAATAATGTGTCTGATTTTTGCTTTTTTTTTTAATAGACAAAGAATAGCCCAGGTTGGGCTGGAACTCACAGTTGCAACATGCTTTTTCTATGGTAAATATTGAATAAGCAAGCTATGTTTTCAGTCTACAGCCACCAAGCAAATGATCTCATGTGACACAGATATCCCTTACTCATAAGATGCATGAGGCCATGTGAGATGGACTGGTGTTCTTAACTAAGATGATAAAGAGAGGTTAAATATTACTTACTGTCATACAAGTCATGCAGCAAGGAGGACATAGAGGTCAATATCTTCAAAGCAGAAGATGACTTTGTGATACTACACCCAAAAAACTGTTGCAGTAAGATTGGCTTCCATGAGGAGACCTCTGAGGTTTAAGCCTCAGTTCAGAAGCAAGCAAGAGAAAGATGATTTCTTGTCCTATATGAGTTTATCGCTCATGTGCTTTGTATGAGGACAGACAGAATCCAACTGTAGCCAAAACAATAGATTTCAAAGACAGAGTAAGAATGAGGGACACTGGCAAGCTTTATTAAGGAAGTCCTTAGATGATGTTGTTTTGATCTATTTCTGATTTGGGGTTTGATTGTTTGTTTTTGAGACATGGTCTCTTATAGTCTAGGCTAGCCTTGTTCTCTTTCCCAAGTGTTTAGATGGAAGACTGGGGCCACAAGGCTGTTAGATGATTCTGTACAAAGTCAATGCCTTACACTTGAATTGCTCATTTTCTCCTGCTGTGGTAGTAATTCCCTGCTTTCCAGTTTATCTGTGTTTGCTGTTCAAAACTGAAGCCTATGGGGCCAGCATCCATGCTTTGCTTCTGGGAGACAGGAATCAATAGGAAACAGCAACTCAGTTACCATGGAGAGGAGAAACCTTGTATCCCCAGCAGCTGGGCAACTGGGAGAAGAAGTTGGACACAATGCCCACTGCCTTAGAACCAGGAAATCAATGAGGTCAAACTCTGATTACACTTGTGGATATCTTATCCAGTGTTACAACTAAATATTGTCACCTATAATTGCATCACATTAAAAAAATCCCATTGCTCTGACAGCCTGATGATTTCTGGATTGTACTCCTCAGTTTCTCACATGGCTACACCAGTGATGTGCCTGTCTCTCCAAAGTGAGCATTCCAAAGGAATCCTATGGATCTCTGTGAAGAGCAGATGGTGTAAAGCCAGAAACACAAGAGGCAAAGCCTCAGAGTCCCTCTTAGTAGTCCCTGGTCTAAATCATTTTTCACTGGTGGGATATCGAACAAGGTTTCAGAAAATGGGAAATTAAGCCTAAACTTAACTCTCAGATTGGCGGTTAGGTAAAATTCTGTTGCATTTGAATAGTTCTAGGCTAGCAGTTTGTTACCCTTTATCCTTTAGCGGAATTGATGAACAGGTGGTTTGCAGAAGATCACCCAGTATATTTAGCTTCTGAAATTTGAGCAATTTGAGATCTGATTGGCTGCTCCTGCCACATGATAAGTTGGGAGCGCCGGGCACCGGGGTGGCTTTTGCCTGGGCTTCTCAGGAGGGAAGAGCTGGGAGAGGATTTGCTGCTGGCCAGGGTTATTCACATAGCTCGAAGGTAAGGCCCATTTATGTCTTCTTCTGGAATGTTCTCCTGGGGGTATGTTCCATGACTCCCCTTAAATTATTTTTCCAGAGTTTTGAGTACCTAACTGGCAAAAACAGTGATGAGTCCTGGCTAGGAAGACCCTATTAGTCATCTCTGACACTGAGCATGTAGATTAGACTGAGTCCTACCTTCGCCAGTTACTGTTGAACCAAATTTGTTGCCTAACACCAATTTTCTTTTTCATTTTTGTCCTAAATATATTCCTATGAAGTAGGTCCTATGGTCAGTGTTCCTATATTTATCTCACCCTACAGAGCTGCCTTTGCCTCAAAAGGACCAGCAGTTTGGCTAGCTTAACAAAACCAGCCACCCAGGGTATTGGTTTACAGTCAAGTGTCTCTGGGAGAGGGACAGCTGCTCTCAGACATCATCCAGCTTGTATGGAGAGGCCACTCTGGCATCAGGCCGAAGAGCCTTCAGCCTTTCCCTAGTTCCTGAATTAGAAATGTAGGCCAAAGACTGACAAGCTTATGAGTACTTCAACCAATACTTTAATTTTTTTTCCGTGTTTTTCAGGCATCAGCACGAGCTACAGAAAGGAAAAAATATCCACAGAAACCAATGGTTTTCCAAAGAAAATAACCCCATTATCTTGAGGTTTCTACTTTTATTTTAAAATTTATAGACAGTTTTATTCTACATGTTCTAATAATATGATATACTGCATACAGCATTCTAGATCAGGGCAGGATACTAAGTTAACCTTCTAGAATTTGGGGTTTCTGAGGCAAAATTCCAAATACTGAAAGTCATACTAACTCTGCTATTGCTAAAAAATTTTGCTTGAAAATATTTTCTCTCTAACTGTTTGGTCATTTCAGTTCTATCTCTTGAGTCCAAGCTGCCTCACTTCCTATTAAAACTTGAAGTGCGTGAAGCCTGTATAGGTAACAGTGCTTAGCACATCACTGAGGGAGTCAGGAGGGGAACTCGGAAGCCTTCATTTGTAGTCTGTTTAAATACCCCTTAACCCACACAAATATATAATCATGTTGACTGGCTTGATTTTAAAACTCTTTTATGGTGCTGTAAGAAAGTACTAATATATTTTCATTTGTATGGAATATGGAAAGTTTGTAGGTGCCACTACTACTCTGGAAAAATGGCGGACGAGGAAGAATATGAAGAGGTGATAGAGGTAAGAAGGACACCCACTTGGCAGCACAGTGTACGTAGTGACAGCCGGAGCCAGGGCCTGAATCAGTCATTTGAAAAAAACACAACATCTATTATAACTTCCCAGAAAGGAGTGTTTTATGTTGAGTTTCACAGGAAGTATGTGAGACCTAGAAGTGAAAGGAAATGTCACTACTTCTCAGTTTTACTCTTTCTTAAATGTTCAACAACAACAAAAACCCACCTCACAAACAGCAATAAACAAACAAAATCAGGTCAGTTTTATCTTTTAAAACTAATTGCTTCCCCACCTCCCTATGCCCTATGCAATGTTTCCCAGCATCTGCACCAGGATAGAGGGAATGGGCAACTTTTTATTCTGCTTCAACTAGTTGAATTGCATGGGGGTTTGTGTTATACACAGGGACAGCCAATATGAGCTGTGCATGGTGTGTGTGTATGTGTGTATGTGTGTGTAGACTCATGTATGCACTCATGAAGGTCACAGCAACAGCTGGAGCCCCTTTCCCACCAGCCCCATCATATTTAAGAAAATAAACAAGACTAGCTTTTGAATCTTGACTGAGAACTAAGACCACAGTGGCTATCTTGAAAAGATCACCCCCACCCTGCTAATTGGTGGCCACCTGGTAGTTTTACAGAATTGTGTGAGTCACATTCATATCATATTGTTGTAATCATCATATTACTTCTCCTTATCAGCTCTTGCCTTTAGCTTTATGTTCTAGAACAGAAACCCGAAGACTTGCAGCTAATCTGCATGAATACATTGCTATGAAATTAAAAATACCTAGAAAGTTTCAACTAACAATGATCTAAATGGATGGAAATCTGCGTTCATTTTTAATGACTGCCCCCAATACCTAGAAAGTTTCAACTAACAATGATCTAAATGGATGGAAATCTGCATTCATTTTTAATGACTGCCCCCAAACAAAACATCAGATAAAGATGCCAAAATTTACCCTTGCTAATCAGTCTTTATGTAGGCAAAGACAATTTTTTATTCACTAATAAAATTACCTTTATTGTTGAAACATATAAAAACCAGAGTATATCTGACAGATGTAGTATTTAACCTCTCTGGCTTATATGCTGATGGCTACATCTTCTTATGGATAGTACCATCACTAATGAACATTTTAATGTAAGTTCCTAAAAGTCAGAACTCTCCCTATTAAACACACTATAAATTAAGTTATAATTACGATTAATTTCTTATTGTGACAATAAAAGGAACATTTTCAAGCCTCCATTTAAACTACCCATTGCTTTTCTTAAATGTCCATGTGATCTTGGCCATTGTGCTTAGTGTTGGCGTTGACTGAGTCAAATAGTCACAAAAGTGGATGGGCTATTTTAGGCATTCTATCCTTGCCATTTTGTTCCCATTACTGCTCCTGGTCTGACCAGCAGGTGCCTTTCGGGGAGTGTTGAACTCTCGTCTCTTTGGTCTCAGAAAAGATCACAAGAATGGGGTAGTGGCAGATTCAAGAGAAGTGACTCAAAAACAATATCTCTTAGGGATCTTGGATACCTGAAATAAAATTTTGCTGGCACTGTCTACACAGCCTGAAATGTAGGAAAAAGGAGCAATAATGCACTGCCTAATTAGCAGCATACCTCTTAAAAAGTAAGGCTTAGCATTCAAGTTAATGCCAAGCACTTGGACAAAGTTGCATTTTTTTTTAGCTTCTTTCCAAGATTGATCTCCCAGTTGTGAGATCCAATAAAGGTGAAACCACATTGCTCACAAAATCTGCTTCTACAGGGATGCTAAGAAAATTTGAAATCGATGGGAATCATTCATTGTAGTTCAGTATTTCTTTTCAGACTACTCAGGCTTTGTGTAACCAGGGGAATGGCTGCATTTGCCCTCAATATTTCTTAAAGTGTCTAAATGGTCTTTGCCCTGTGCTGAAGTCACAGGGGTAAAGTAGACTTTGTCCTGAGAAAGCATGTGCTGACTATTGCTATATGTAAAGTCATATACACAAAAAAATAAATTTTAAATAGAAAATAAGTACAAGCTTAAGGGACATTAAGTGACCTTTATATGGTTATAACTCTGGTGACTAGATGGCCTGTGGCAATTGCCAAACCAAAGGCAAAAGGAAGTAGGGTACTGAAGAAAATTTTGCATCGGTGTACCCCTGCCTGCCCCCAGTGCTTCAGTGTCAGCGTAAAAGAAAAGAAGCATAAAATTCCATGCTTTTTCTTGCCTGACAAAAAGGAGCCAAGTGCTTCCTTTTTGTCCCTGTCTTGTGTGTGCTGACCTGCAGGGGCTGTTCCCTCTGCTTGCCCAGCAGAGCTGGGTGAGGTTGAGGCAGGATTCCACTCTCCTTAAGCATCAGGGACAAAATGTCTGCCAGTTCCTCTCTGTATCTATTTATTGCTTGTGATGTCAGAAGAAAACTAGAGTGGGTTTCAGATCCAGGCTGCAGGCCCAGTAGCAAACTCACTTCCCTGCGTTCTCCAAGGGGCCTCTCCTTTCCCCTTCCTTCCCAGGACCTTCACCAACTGTCACCTTAGCACCCCTCCTTCCTTCCCACAGATAGGCCACCCCAGCTAAGCTGGTGAAATTACCCGGCACTTCAGTAGAGGCAGGCAGGCAGGCAAGTGCCGAACTGGATGTAGGCTATACTTTACTAAAAGGGGACAGCCATCACTCCGGAGGACTTTTAGTAGTCCAGGGAAGATGGTAATAACTGAGATGTGACTGTTAATAAAACCTTGCTCACGGTAGGTTTCTGTTTTGCTTTATAATTAGTAAACAGTGAGTCCAATCATAGTTTTTCTTTGCACATCGAGCACCCTCAAGAGTTCATCACTGTGTTCTTTTCTAAGTAGATTCAAATACTAAGGTGGTTAGTTTTTGTCAACAAAATAGAGCCACTTGGGAAGATTAAGAACCCATTAGATGATTTGGTAGTCAAGTCTGCAGGGCATTTTCTTCATTAATGATTGATGTGGAAGGGCCTAACCCAGTGTGGGCAGAGCCAGCCCTAGGCATGTGGTCCTGAGTTGTGAGGAAAGCAGTCTGAGAGACCCATGAGAGCCTGTCAGTGAGTAGCACTCCTCCATGGTGCATGTCTCTGCTCCTGCATAACTCCCTACCCTGATTTCCCTCCAGGATGAACTGTCATGGGACATGTAAGCCAAATACATCCTACCTCCCTAAGTTGCTTTTAGCTATGGTGTCTACCACAGCAACAGAAAACCAACTAGAACAAAATTTATAAGGGGCAAATGTTTCTTGCCCTAGGAAAAAATGGCTTCAAGTGCTAAGAGGCACCCTCAAGCCCCTCCCCTTTTCTTAGATCTGACACATCCACTTTAGCTTTCCTCAGCCTTCCAGAATGTGAACAGGCCCTCACCTACTTCCTCCCTGCAGATATTCCATGACACCTCAGCCAGGGAAGCCAGGTTCAGCCTAGGCAGGGGAGGGTTGGCTGTCAGCTGTTCTGTTTGTCACATTGACACTCCTGTGCTCTGTTTACAGTACTACACGGAGGAGACAGTTTACGAGGAGGTGCCAGGAGAGGTAAGACTCGGTCCCCACATGCATGGACTGGTTCTCATTACAGAAGAGCCTCTTTCCCTCTCATACTCTGGGAGCCAGAAAGATGCAGGAAGCGAAGATGTCTTAGGAAGCTCACTTGCCTGCCTGTGCCCAGAAGCAGGTGGTAAAAGACCAAACCCCACATTTGACAGGCTAATTCATTGTTTCTATGTTCTGCTTATCCAAGATGGCATGGAATGGTTCCCTGCTGTCCATGTGGCATTTTTTGTATAGATGGTATGAATGAAGGTCATATCAGTGGCTACCTCTCTCCTAGACTGCCCCACGAGGATACCTCAGGCTTCTGATTGGCACAGCCTAGCTGTTTAATGCATAGAGTTATAACTTGCAGGGTAAGGTCTCTCCCACCAGGGGTGCTGCTCCTCAGGCATTGTCCCCAGTGACTTAGTAACATGCCACTTTAGGAATCCCAAGAGAAGATAGTTTTGTAACAATTCCGATTTATGGATCCCCCACCCGCATGCTTTATTTTCTGTGTGGAGTTGTTTCTCTTTAGCCTGACTAATACTGGTAAAAGTGGCAAACTGTGAAGCTTGCTCTAAGAGCCCGTGGCTGGATTAAAAACTAGAGCGGTGGTTTGATTGGTTTCTCATGGTTTGTCATACTTTAGTAATAGTAGGCGGAGTGTAGTCATTTACATTACGGTTGCCTCAGCAGGTTTCTCTTCCCCACACTGAATTCTGCCTTAGGGACTGGAGATCTTTGCCTTGAAGGGCATGATCTTAGTGCATCAGAGCCTCTGCTGCTTTCCATCTTTCCTAGTGTACCTACCATATTTCTAACTTGGACTACAGTCAGACTTTGAATCTTAGTTTTTCCATTACAGCCTGCTGTAAGAAACAATGGTTTCCCACTTACTGCATAGCAAGACAATTGCCCACTGTGTTGTCACCATTGTTCTGGTACCTCAGTGTAAAGGGCAGTCTAGTTCACAGTAATGAACTTAGTCAAAAGACTAATACCTGTAATACTGATATGATTACTTCTTTTGTTTCATACTACAGAATGACTAATGCCTATAGAAAATGCAACTGGTCTTAAAAGAATTGCAGGAATTTAAGCTTTTTTTTTTTTTTTTTTTTTTTTTTGGTTTTTCGAGACAGGGTTTCTCTATGTAGCTTTGGAGGCTATCCTGGCACTCGCTCTGGAGACAAGGCTGGCCTTGGTCTCACAGAGATCCGTCTGCCTCTGCCTCCCTCCCAAGTGCTGGCATTAAAGGCGTGTGCCACCAACACCCAGCTAAGCTTTATTTTTAATAACATTTCATTACTCAGTCTCATTTGCTTTTACTTGATCTAGACAACTTGAAAAGATGCCTATTGTTTTTGTTTTGTTTTGTTTTAATGGGGCTGGTGGTTGAACATAGGGCCTTGTACATGGTAAACAAGTGCTCTATCATTGAGCTACAGCCTAACTCTCACTTAAGAAGACATGGTTAAGACTGTTGTATTTATGATTGTAATACTCCCTTAAGGTATTTGACTAGCTCTCTGAAAATACTGTTTACAGATGAGGTCACAATCAATATCCAGGCTGATGGGTGTTGCATGTCTTCATATGGATGCACAGATGTAATAAGCATCTCCATGCTTTGGCTGGCTTGGTAATTGGAAAAGGAAGATCAAAGTGACTGACATTAGAACAGTATACACCAAGGTCATGGTATTAGGGCTTACTTCATAGCCACATTTCATTTTCAGACAATTACAGAAGTCTATGAAACTACGACGACAAGGACATCTGACTATGGGCAATCCGAAAGTTCCACACCAGCGCTGGTACAGCCGCAGCCAGCAAAACCGATGGAGCGGAAGAAGGTCATCCGAAAGAAGGTGGACTCTTCTAAGTTCATGACCCCCTACATTCAACACAGTCAGAAAATGCAGGACCTTTTCAGCCCGGTAAGTATTGAGCATCACTTCCTACGATGGCAGTATGTTTGAGAAGTTGCTCTGAGATGCTGCCTAGTTTTGTCTCTCAATCTTGTAGGAAACACAAATATTTTATAGAGGGAAACTGCCTAGTTTTGTCTCTCAATCTTGTAGGAAACACAAATATTTTATAGAAATGTGTCTTTTGTGTGTGACTGTGGAATTTTTGACTAATTCATCCATGCCATTGCAGCACTGGGACAAGCCCTTGTTGTGACTGAAACACATGCAGAAGTCTGATTATAAAACACCTGCTGCATAGCCAATCCAGAGCAATGAAAACACAAACATGAATATTTCTTCATTTACTGAAAGTCTGTTCACAGAAGCTAAGTCACAAAGTTAAACTGTGCTTAAGGGGAACAGCCTCATAGAGTAGCCAGCAGTATAAAAGATAAGTGGTGTCCATTGAAGACCTTGTAATTCAGAAAACCAAGCTCAGGCTAAACTCATTTGAGGCTGAGGAACAGAGTGTTTTGAGGGTAGCCCGAGCCATGGGTTTTAAGAATGGCTACACAGCGGAATCTCCTACAACATTTTAACTTCTAGTGCTCAGAACATTCTTGTTTCACTGGTTTTGAGGCTCTGGCCTGTGCTAAAGGAGGTTTAAAAGCTGCCTAGGTGTTCTTAACTGCACCCTAGATGGAGAATGATTGAAGAGTCAACGTTCTCTGCTTCTTAGTGTTCCAGGACTGCCAGAGAGCCACAGTAGATGTGATTTGTTGATTTCCATGGTAGGGTGAGGTCTGTCCAGGTAGCTTGATTACATATGATCCAGAGGCTTGAAGAGATACATTGTTACAGTTCAGGGGGACATTGCATTATGGGAGACTAAAACTGTTGCCTGAAACTTCCACATATGGTTGACTTCTAAAGATGCAATTTGGTGGTGTTAACTCCTGGAGATTATGGAGTATATTTATAATTTGGATCCTTGAATGATCTAACATGTAGGATTCTAAACAAGACTTTCTTACCTCCTTCTCACTGCAGCATTCAATAAAGGCAAAATTATTTCATTAATTTATTACCATGTAATCTCATTAATTCAGACATTATGAACCTGGAATTTCTGATATTCTGAGTGGAATGTTGGCAACCCTGTTCCCCAAGTTTGCCAGTGGTTAGTGTCTAAATCAGCAGTGTAATTTAGATTGTTAACTACTCACGAATATTCTTTAAGGCCTTGCTAGTAATAAATGGTGCCTATTATTACTAAAGCAAGGATCCATTGGGTAGCTGGCAGAAATAATACATTTGCATACCATTATAAAAAATTCCATGATTCAGGCTTCCCATTAATTCAGCTGGCATCGCAGGTGGGTTACCACTGCAGCTCAGCTGCAGCTTCTGAACTGAGTATTTTTGCATTGTATTTGCAATTAAATCTTTTCAGAATTAACTCATTTTCTAGAATAATTAATATTCAGGATTCTGTATATGTGTGCAACCAAAAAAAAAAAAAAAAAAAACTCAAGCGAGTTATTTTAAGGCATATCCAAGACAATTGTCTGTAACAAGTCTCCAGGATTTATGCATGTTTAGGAGAAACAATTAACAAATCTATTTTAGTTTTTGCTGAGAGAGGGTATGGGACATAATGAAAGCTGTTGCAACTGATAATTGTATTACTTGGAGGGTTTAAAGAAAAGTCAGATGGTGATGTGTGTGTTGCCTGAACTCTCTGCTGATGTCTGGTCACGTTCCAGACTAATATCTGGTATTCTTTTCAGAATAAATACAAAGAGAACTATGAGAAAGCAAAGGGACAGCCATATGCTATCACAAGTGATACTCCAGAACTTCGCAGAATCAAGAAAGTACAGGATCAACTCAGTGAGGTGGGTTTCATTCCTAAAGTAAAGGAGGGAGGTATTGTGAAAATATGCTCTGGGGAGGCAGAGGCAGGCAGATCTCTGTGAATTTGGGGCCAGCCTGGTCTACAAAGTGAGTTCCAGGACAGCGAGGGCTACACAGAGAAACCCTGTCTTGAAAAACCAATACATACATACATACATACATACATACATACATACATACATGCCTAGTTCTGGGATCCTGGGGCTTTAAGCATAGCAATAGTGGGGGGCAAGTCCAGACATCTAGAGATGGCATTAGCCATGAACCATGTTTGCTACCCATGAGAGACTTTGAAAAGCTTGTCTTAGCCATCAAAGAGGACACTATTTTCTAACACCATGTTCCAACTCTTGGTGGTCCTCCACGTGGAGGACCACAGTGAGGCTGAGAAGCCTCAGGCTGAAAATTCAGCCAGCAGAGCAGACACATAGTAAATGCAGGTAGTCTGTGGATCTTCCTAGCTAAAATGTGTGTGATGCAGACATATAGCCATAGCATTATAACAGGCTTAGATATGTGTCCATGCTTGTCATGAACTTTAAGCATGTGTTGTTTCTTCAGGTTAAGTATCGAATGGATGGAGATGTTGCTAAAACTATCTGTCATGTTGATGAAAAAGCAAAAGATATTGAACATGCAAAGAAAGTGTCGCAGCAAGTCAGCAAGGTGAGGCCATGTTATGGGTGGCACTGGGCTTTTCAACAGCATGTGGGACCACCCTTTGTTGTGTCTTAGAGGTGGATTGACAGCCACCATCCTGCTCATAGAGGACTGAAGTGGCCTATAGATGGCTAGGGGTGAAGATTTCTTGACTTGTCTGAAGAGGCATTTGCTACCCTAATGGTGTATGTGGGAGGGGGTGGGGGGGTTCTACCACAAAGAGTGCAGTCCCCATGTCTTGTTTATTTTTAAGGAATTTATAAAGTGGAATTTTTTTATGAAAGATTTCCAAATTTCAAATGCTGGCAGCTAATTAAAAGAGTTCTAGAATGCCATACAAGTAAAAAGAAAATTGAATTAATTGGCCGATCACAACCTTTGAAAATGAATTGAAAATCAGAATCATAAAGCATTTTTCAGCCTGGGTGTTGGTGGTGCACGCCTTTACTCCGAGCACTCGGGAGGCAGAGGCAGGCAGATCTCTGTGAGTTCGAGGCCAGCCTGGTCTCCAGAGAGAGTGCCAGGATAGGCTCCAAAGCTACACAGAAGAACCCTGTCTCGAAAACCCAAAAAAAAATACATAAAAATATTAAAAACAAGTATTTTTCAAATTTAGATTTTTGGTGGGTTTTCTTTGCTTTGTTTTGTTTGTTTGTTTGTTTGTGGAAGCTTCCTGATGCTAAGAAGGTGTCCTAGGATGTTGGCATGGTCAGCATTTTCCTGTTAGCCCTTCAGCAGGTTTGTGTGACACCTCACCTTCACTCTTCCATCTGCTCTCCGAATCCTCCTGCCTGGGCTGGCACGTTAAGCCAAAGTCCATCTGCTTTCTCCCTAGGTTTTATACAAGCAGAACTGGGAAGACACCAAGGATAAGTACCTGCTTCCCCCTGATGCCCCTGAACTTGTCCAAGCCATTAAGAACACAGCCATGTTCAGTAAGGTGAGGTCCAGCTCTCTTGAATGTCCCACTGCACACTTAGAGCCGTAACTGCCGAACTGGACAACTTGGAACAGTTTCTCGGTTTTTGGGGGAATAGCTTTGGGACTTATACAGGGCTAGGACTTGACAAGGAGGACCCTCAGATTCTGTCAGAGTGGCTGAAAGTCCCTGAAGAACCTGAGCAACCCTGTGGGTGGGAAATTAAGAACATGCAATTCTCCCTCCTGTGGGTGGGAGAATTAATAACATGGAGAGAATTAAGACATACCACAGAACTGATGAGGAAATTGATAAAGCTGTATTTTTTTTAAGTTAGTTATGCTTTGGATGCCCCCAACTGTCACTCTAATTAGAAGTTTGTTTTATAACAGAAACTAGAGAAAAATTCCTGTTCCTTAGGCAGGAGGCAGGTAAAGTCACAGACAGAAGGGAATGTCTAAAAATAAGATTTTTTTCAGAAGTAGGACAAGCTACTAAAAAAATAACATAGATTGGATGGGAAGGGGGAAGTTGTCTGTGAATGTCCCTGATGTTGGCTCAAACCTTGCTCTTGGTGCCTCATGACATCAAAAAAGCTCAAATTATGTACGTCCTGTAAGTATAGCTTGTTTTCTCACTGAGGTTTTGCTCTTTTCTGATTTAGAAACTGTACACTGAAGACTGGGAAGCAGACAAAGGGTTGTTTTATCCCTATAATGACAGTCCAGAACTGAGGAGGGTCGCCCAGGCCCAAAAAGCACTTAGTGATGTAAGTGAAATATACTTGGTACCATCTAAATGTGGGGTCAGAAATGCCTGGACCATGTTTTAGGTTCTTAAAAAAAGATCCAATATCATTATTAGAGAGGACTACATCCAGAACCAAGGTTTATTATATGTATTTATATTAGCTATAGTTTATGCTTTCTATTAGACACACTTAGCCCAGTCCCTCTTCATTTATGTAAGGAACCTAAGTTCTCACTAGTAGTGGCAGAATCTAGACTTTAATCCCAGGACTAGTGTTCTTTCCAACAAACATGCCTCATTTTCCCCCTTGGCTCTGCTAAAGTTGTGTTGTTCCACTTGGAGTGGAATTTTTTTTAGAAACAGCCATGGGAATCACATCCCTCCCTTTACAAATTTACTAAGCAAATGCTGTCCCACAGTGTTATTTAGCTCTATTCCACCATCCAAGTCAAGTCTGCATGGGATATTTCTCTCCTTTGCTTGGGAACTCTAGAAACCTGAGAGAGCCTGGCGATACCTTATGAAGAGGCTAAGTAATAAGTAGCTATTTTTTGAAAGTTTAATATATACAATATTTAGCAGGACGTGAAAGTTTAATCTTTTCCCTTGATAGTATATTATCATACTGGCAGGGTGAAAGTATTATATGTCAAACAAAAATAAAAAGAAACAGAGCTGTCTAGTCATTGCTATGAGGGTGAATGCATATAAGAAATGATAGAAAGCTGGGCTATGACAAAACAAAAGTATTTCAGGTGCAGGGACCACCCAATCAAAAGGAAAGAGTGGCATAAGTCTGGGGTGTTAGTGAACAATGAAAGTGGGTACCTCATTTGCAGGGTGCTGATTAAATTGTTAGAACAGGACCTTAAGAGTCAGCCTGACATAAAAGTTTGGACAATAAGTCAGCATGAGCTGCAAATGAAAAAAAAAATGAGATAGAATCTGGAGAAACTCAGTATGGAGAACTGGATCAAGGAAAAATTAGAAATCGTGAGTATTCATAGAGTCTAATTAGCAGTGTAGATGGGCAAAGGAAAAGAATGGAATCCCCTGAGAGTAATTATTAAGTGTTGATGACATTGGATACTGGAGACAAAGGAGAGAGAATGGAGCAATAGAGTTTATTGCCACATACAGGTTGTCTGGGCATTTAAGAAATGTACACATTGCGGAGAAAGAAACAGATTTGAAAAAATAGGGGAAACATTTGTACCAAGACATTCTATGGAGGCAGAGGCAAGCAGATGTCTGTGAGTTTGAAACCAGCCTAGTCTACAGAGCAAGTTCCAGGACAACCTCCAAAGCAATACAGAGAGAAACCCTATCTCAAAAAACCAAACCAAAAAAAAAAAAAAGTAAGAAAGAAAGAAAAGAAAAAGAAAAAAAAGAATGTCATCTTCCCAACTCTTCTATCACAAAATACCTTTCCTTCAAGATGACAGCATTCTTATTTATAATAAAAAGGAATTGACTCATTTCAAGATCACAATCATGTTGTACTTAACCGAGTCTAAGTATGTCTCTGAATAATATTGAGCTAGTGTTTGTAACAAAAACTTTCATGAAAACCATCAAATTAACTGGGATATAAAAGACTTTTTTTCTTAAAAAATCACATAATATATATTAATTCCTTAAATATATATAAATACCTTAAATTAAGCTTTATTTTAGGTAAAGGGCAAGTGGAATTTTCCATGACTTAAGGAAAGTCCTTAGGGAGAAAGTTACATCCAAACAGGAGAAATGCCTATTAAGTATGACAACCTGTCAAAAAGTGTCTGAGAAATCAGATCACCAAGTCCTTGTTTTTCAGGAGCCATGCTCAGAGTTCTGTCTAGTTAGAATTCTGTACTCCAGATCAGTCTAAAGACATTCTTAGCGTCTGCAAACTGTTTGGTCTGTATTTAGGTAACAGGAAAACATGGTACATAGTATTTAGAGAGACGCAGATATAAGGTACTGAGTGACTCTAACATAAGCCCCTGGCTTGAAGGCTATGTGGCCACACAGTGATATGTTCTATGGACAGCAGCTTGCTCTGGTCTCTGAGTTATTGACTGTAAAAGCTCAGGTTGCTAACAATAGTATTAATAACCATATTAGTAAGGTGATACTTTGTGCATGCTTGCTCAGCAACAAAAATAAAAACTTTTCCCCAAGTGCAGACAAATGAATGGAACATGAAAAACAGAGTTCATTTTCAAATGCTTATGGGTATTCCTGCCTTTTACTTTTATCAGATTGCCTACAAAAAAGGACTCACTGAACAGCAAACTCAGTTCACATCCCTGCCTGATCCTCCAGATGTAGAATTTGCCAAGAAAGTAACCAACCAAGTAAGCAAGGTACGTACGTAGAGATGGACCGTGTCTCTCTTGGAAACCTACTCAGTTTTTTCAGCCATTTGGAAGAGAAAATGATGGTGAACTTGAAGAAGAAACACAAACACTAGGGGTATTTTTACATATCCCCCCCAAAAAACCTTTTACACCAAAAAAAAAAAAAACAATACATGTGCTAACAGCATAAATGATGTCAGTGCTTAGCCAAGTTGATGACTCAGTGAGTTTTAAATGTCACAGTCACCTCTTGATAAGGCAGCGTATAGCTTTGTGCCACTTGACATTTTAATCTCTGAGACAGAATCGTAGGTGACGGACTAACTCTACCCTTCTGTGGAGGCTATGGTTTAACTTGTGGGTGGGGAGAGCCACTGCAGTTTCTAACGCTCACACTTTCAGTCAGACGTGAACATAGTTGGAGAGACTGTGTGAGTGACTCTCAGACACAGCTCAGTGGGCAGTGGTGGGACCAGCACTTCAGAGTTTTGAAGCCCTAACAAACTGCTTGTTTTGCCTATATTTAGCCCAACAAAGTAGCTCAGAAGGATGCAGCTGTGGCAAGGAATGCGGACACACAAGTGTTTGGCTGGTATATAGGGAGAGCTAAGTCCTATTGTGAATTGGTCCAGACAGGGTGCTTTCTCTGGTTCCTGGCGACATGGCTAGTTTGTTGTCGCTCTCTCTCTCTCTCTCTCTCTCTCTCTCTCTCTCTCTCTCTCTCTCTCGTTTTGGTAGAGTTGGGTTCTTAATAGAGGAGAAGAAAGAAAAGATATAAATGATGCAGTCTGTTCTGCAGTGTTTTTAGCTTCTCATTTTACAGAATACTTAATGTAAAACCCTGGGGCTGGGTAAGAATAGTGAAATTAATGAGAATACTAGCAACTTACTATTTCCCCCAAGGCTGAGCAGAGATTAACTGGAGGACTGTGCATAATGGAGTGACTGCTGGATGTGTTCATAGTAGAAAAAAAGAGGATGGAAGAGAAAGATACTTTAACTCTGGGGAAGCTGTTTTTAAGCAGTCATTTAAAACTAATCTATTTTTATTTTTACTTAAAGAATATCTCAGTTCAGATAGAACTCTATTTTTGAGCATGCAGTGTGGAAATTTGAAAGGGATTTTTAAGTATCAAACTTGCCTGTAGTCACTCCTCCCAACAATTTAGGCTTGCAAATGACACTCAAGTTGTGCTTCTCAGGGTAGAAGCCCTTACACAAACCTGACAACTGAGCACTTCAAATGTGATGTGAAAAATCCGAGACTATTAGTGGATTTATACTCCTACAACAAAATATATGCGGAGTATCCTAAACAGCAGGCTTTGGCTCCTCTATGTCCCAGAAAACGGAAAGTCAAAACAAAGTGCAATCACTTCAGGAGCTAAGGATCCAGCGTGGGAATGGGAAGGGGACATGCAAGTATCCATTTCCCTAGCACTGTCTCACACATGAGAAGTATATACTGGATTTAAAATGCTTACTATGAAATAAAAAAGAATGTAAAATTGCTCATCATTTTATGCCAATTGCATGTTAGAATGGTAGTGTTTTGGATCTGGATTGAGTAAAATATACTATAGTTAACTTCCCACTGGTCCATTTGCACCTTAAGAAATGTGGCTTCTGGAATAGCTTTCATGTTAGGTATGTTGAACTGCACACTCCTTGCTGGATAGGGTGACACACTATTGGGTATGTGAAAAGAGTTGCCAACCTGGGTTTGACCTTGTAGAATAATATGAACTGAGAGAGAATGATTGCACATGAAGGTCATTGGATTTGGCAACAGTGACATTTATCCTAGTCTTACCCAGATTAGAAGTTCTCAAAGTGTGTTGTGCATCAAAAATACCAGTCTATCTAGAGAGAAGTATTGTGCATGGTGGCCAGTCCATCCAGCATTCAGGCATTCAACCACAGGGGCCCAGGCAGACAAAGGTGACTTCTTTGTGGTGCTCCTCCTTCTCTTCCTCCCCAAGTCTTACCCACCGTCAAGCTACTTGAATCCCCATTTCAGCATCACCATATCCTCTTTTACACCCAAAGAGGTTAAAAATGTCTCTTTCATTGTCTCACATTCATATATTGAAACTCTTGACATATCCTTCCAAACTGTCTTCTATATCTGTTGCTTGTCTTATGGCGTCCTGTTGGGCTGGTAAAGATCACATGTTGGCAACTGTATTGACATTACATTCTCTTTCTAAGCCTTCCTTACTATACTTCTCAGAGTGTATTTTCTTACCTTTGTCTTTGCCAAAATCCTGAGCTTCATGCCAGCACCCTTTCCAGGCTCATGTGTGCTCTGTGGCTCTAAGTGAGATGGACCAAGAGAGTTGTTCTTACAAAAGATACTCCAGGTGAGGGAAAGGACTCACCATAACCAGAAAGTGGACTCTGCACACAACTTTGGAAAAGTCTCTCTTGTTTTTCTGTGACTTTTTGTTTCTCTCTAGTAATTTCCAGTGGAAGCCAGAATGCTTTTAAAAAAAGAAAGGTATATCTTGCAGTGACACATTATTAAATAACATGGAGCCTAGATCTTCTGAAATCTTCTACTGCATAGAATTAGACTCCTATGGATTTCACCACAAGGTATTTGATCAAGTCATGAAAGCAACTCTGGACCAACTGTGGCCAACAAAAATAATCCAGTCAAGATGCCCCACATGCTCTGAAAGATAACTTCTCTGTGAATGGAACTAGCAGGTGGCTCAATGTTGAGCTATTTAGAAAAGAGGAGATGTGATTAACTCAGTTCATGTTATTTCCATTTGATAACCACATAAAAACTGCAGGTGCCAATCTGGAAAGTAAAAAATGAAGCCATGAGTTTAAGCAAGACACCAGGGAGCCTAATCTGTAGCCTAGTGCCCTCTGCTGACTGATGGTAGGAGGGCCTATGGTTCAGGGAAGCAACTGCTGTGCCTACTAGCATGCGGTCACCTCCCCTGACAAAGTCTATCCAGAGCTTGGAATTGACCCAATATACTTTCCTCTGTTAAATGAAAGTTCCATGAGAAGTTCAATCACATCTTTCCTGCAGGCTGTCATTGATCAACTCCAGGTGCAACAGAGTAGGAGGGAAGTTTAAGGAGAAAGCTTCAGAATCAGACATAGTTGGATGATGGACTCTTGATATGGGGGAGTCTGCCTATGGACACTGCCTGTCTTTTCCTCCACTCTTCTAGTTAGAAGCCTGCCTCTTTGGCCTTCTTGCTACCTGTACATGAAGGGGAACAAGGGTACCCTTCTCGGCAATTAGCCAGCTACAGTTAGAACCTCTACTCCCATGCAGTAGGACCCATTACCATCACAGGAGGACTTGGGAGTAGACTGTGAGTGATTAGTCCCCAGCCAGACCTGTTACAGGAGGAAACAACAAGCTTTTGTTCCCAGAGGGTCAGAGGGCAGGAAGGACATTGGATGAGGCATCTGGAGGGCTCTGTACTCTGATCTTCTTGTTTAATTATCTTCTTAAAAGCCCATGTCTCTCTTTGTTATGAGACTCACACCTTTACTCAGTTCTCCTTCGTGAAGCCATACACACAGTACCTGTTTCTCTGTAATAGCCCACATGTTGGCCAGTAAGAGTATCTGCTGCTTTTTAGCGCGGTGTTATATAGATCTCTGTTTCTTGGCTTTATGATGCACCAGGTCTAATTCCTTTGTTCAATGTCCTGAGCTTCCTGGGTTTTTTTCTGCATGGAGGCACAGAGCCCCATGAAGACTTAGATGTGGAAGATCGAAGGGTACATGAACTGAGGGTACATCAAGAACTTCTGAAGTCCTGCTTTGTTCTTTGCGTTCTAGTTTTAGATATTTTATTGTTTTATTTGGTTTGGTTTTGGTTTTCTGATACAAAGACTTACTTTGAAACCCAGGCTGGTTTTGGCAAGATACCCTTGCCTCAGACTTCCAAAGTGCTTTTTTTTTTTTTTCCAGGTTCTCTCCCACCATGTCCAAATTGAACTTCTGAAGCTTTAATGTTTATGAGTACTCTATTCATTTATCAGACTTTTAAGAAGCCTATTCCCCAAAATATTAGAATTACTCTATAGGCTGAAGTTTCTATCCCATAAGTGACTCCCAAGTAACCAACACAGAGACTAAATATTCATTATAAATGCTCAGCCAATAACTCACGCTTGTTACTAGATTATTCTTACACTTAAATTAACCTATATTTCTTATCTATGCTTTGCCACATGGCTTGTTACCTTTTCTCAGTACAGCATGATCATCTTGCACTCTCTGTCTGCTGGCGACTCCTCTGACTCTGCCCTTCTTCACCCCAGCATCCTTAGTTTGGTTGCCCCACCTATACTTCTTGCCTGGCTATTGGCCAATCAGCTTTTTTATTAAACTAATCCAAATCTTTACAGAGTACAAGAGGATTATTCCACAGCACCCAAATCAATTAATTCATTTCTATGAAGGGACACCCTGGCAATGCCAATTCTTAATAAAGAAAACATTTAATTGGGGGCTGGCTTATAGTTTCAGAGATTTAGTCCACTATCATCATCATGGGAGCGTGGTGACATGCAGGCAGATATGGTGTTGGAGAGTTCTATATCTGGATTGATAGGCAGCAGGAAGAGAGAGTGACACTGGGCCTGGCTTGAGCTTCTGAAACCTCAAAGCCCACCCCCAGTGACACACTTCCTCAACAAGTCCACACCTCCTAATAGTGCCACTCCCTGTGAGCCTAAGGGACCATTTTCATTCAAACCATCATAGGAGCGTAGCTAAATCAGAAGTCTAATTCAGATTTTTTTCATTCTGTTTTATCTGTTGAGATAGGGTCTTTCCTTGACATCCAGGCTGACCTGATGTCAAGATCCTCCTGCATCTGCCTCCCCAGTATACAAGGCAGATCTGAGTCTCAGCAGGATTCACTTTCTCTTTCTGTCTGCCTCTCTCTCTCTCTCTCTCTCTCTCTCTCTCTCTCTGTCCCTCTGTCTGTCTCTCTCATTTCACATATAATTTTTCTCCAGTTTTTTATGATAGCTGTTATTATAATTAGTACACTATACATTTCTTTAGTCTCACAGATACACAAAGCATCTTTAGTATATGATCTTGCTTCATTGTTTCAGCAGTGTTCTGTGTAAAATAATGTAGCCCTTGGGGTTGAGAGACTTGAAGTGTTGATGCACTAAGTCAAACCTTTGGTAATTACAGTGTCCAATCATAGAGTTCTAAAATAGATAGCTATAAAAACTGCTGCTAGCCAGGCGTGGTGGTGCATGCCTGTAGTCCCAGCTTCTCGGGAGGCTGAGACAGGAGGATTGCTTGAGTCCAGAAGTTCCGGGCTGTAGTGCACTATGCTGACTGGGTGCCTGCACTAAGTTTGGCATCAATATGGTGACCTCCCAGGAGCAGGGGACCACCAGGTTGCCTAAGGAAGGGTGAACCAGCCCAGGTCAGAAACAGAGCAGGTCAAAAACTGCTGTTGATAATTAACATATTCACCATTGCATTGTGACGACAGCAAATGGGACATTTAAGGAAGCTGTACCTCCTTTTGCTCTGACACATTGGTTTTGTACATTAGAACTTATGCTAATGGTAACAAAGAAGGTCTTTATATTTCTATGAAGGATATGGTGGAAGTATAGGTGTATACAAGCCATCTGAGAGTCAGTGATGATGTCTTTAGCATAGCTCTATGAGCCAAGGAGGAAAATTGCTCTAACCTTGCTCTAGCTTTGCTTCATGGGTACAGATATGGGGCTCACTTGGTTAATTCTGTTCCAGGAACACATGGGACAAGATAGTTTGCAACAACAACTTGGGTGGGTTGTGAGGAAACTTCTACACACCACATTTTAGACTAGATACTAAGTCTCTAAAGTCAGCAGGGACAGACAGTCCTCTCCTTGTCTTTCTCTATTCCCTTAAGCCAACTTTATTGCAGGGTAATGTTATTACACCACAAGATTACCTAGAGATAATTTATTGAGGGTCTAACATGAACCTGTTAAAGATATTTAATATCATACTATTACTCAATTCCAACTTGTCAACTCTTGGATTTTGTTTTCATTTCATTTCTTTTATTTCTGTCTCCAGCAAAAATATAAAGAAGACTATGAAAAGAAAGTCAAAGGAAAATGGAGTGAGACACCCTGCTTTGAAATTGCAACAGCCAGAATGAACGCCGATAATCTTAGCACAGTAAGTAGGGAGTGAGGGCCTGTCCCTGGCAGAGGACAAGTCTTATATTTTTTTTTTTTTTTTTTTTTTTTGACAGTTTCCAACTGCTTGCAATATCTCAAGGAATTCTAGAATGCTAAATACTAATTTGACTACGTTCCATGATTTCTACCTCAATTTTTGTAGGAACAACCTGGTGAGACCCTTACAAAGTGCAGTTAGCATGAGTTGGAAGGGCTCTTTGAGTTTATGCTTTGCCTGCTGAACAAAAATCATACGTGTATAACATTGATTGATTTGTTTTCTTTTCACCGGAAAACAGAAGTCTAATTCCTTTTCCTCCCACTGCTCTGGCTTTCCTGAGCACTTTCTCAGTGGCCGGAAAGGCTGGGCCTGCCTGGTTTTTTCCCAGCCTGTTCTAATTGTCCAGATCTCTGTTAAGCTGATAAACATTTT